CTTAAAAGAAAGTTGGAGCAGCTCTTGCTGCCATTAAAAAAAAGGAGTTTAAAAAAAAAAAACCCATTCCTTTCCCCTGTTCTGGTATATCATGCTGCCAAAGTGAAGCTGAAAGCTCCCTGCCTGCTGGGTCTGGGGGCTTTGCTCTGGCAGAACACAGGCTTTGCTATTGATGAGCTCCTGAACCAATCCTGTCAGGCCAAAGTCAGCCCTGTGAGACTGGTTTGGCATTAAAAAAAGCCCCAAAATGCTGCACGGTTGCTTTTGTAGGCTATGAAGGTGTAGTTTCATGAAAGAAACCCAGAGAAGCTGCATTAAGTCTCTTCCACCAGGCCACGACATGCCCAAACAATCCTGAAACTCAGGCGAGGCCCCACCTGTGTGTCCTGCAGCCCCTTTGGGTGCAGCTGGGCCAGCATCACCTCAGAGACTTCTCACTCCCTCCCCCTTTCTTAAGCTTCAGCCTCATTCCCCACCCTTCCTCACATGAGGAGCACATCCTGCTACTCCTCTGCCTCTTCCCACCCGTCCTGAGCTAATCCAGGCTCACCAACAGCCTTCAGGTCCCCAGCAGCAGCCAGTGGGATTGTAGTGTCTGCCCCCCCACCCCAAAGCCAAGTTCATGTGACATGGAAACCTCTGCAACCAGCCCTGTGCAGAATCACAGAATGGGTCAGGTTGGAAGGGACCTTCAAGATTGTCAGGTTCCATCCTCCCTGCCATGAGCAGGGACACCTCCCACCAGACCAGGCTGCACAAGCATCATCCAACCTACCCTTGAACACCTCCAGGGAGGGGGCATCAACGCCCATTCCCATTCCAGCTCCTCACCACCCTCCTGGTGCAGCGTTGCACCGTGTGGTGCAGGCTGGATCTGCCTGGGGCTGTGAAACAAAATGCTGAGGATGCAGAGCTTCAACCTCTGCAAGTCAAACCTATAGAGACAACGTTTCAGCCCCTGGAAGCCCCGTACTTGTACCGAGTAATCCTGGGGGGTAACACAACACGGGGGGCTCCTCCCACAGCCAAGGTGTTTCGAATGAACCAGTGAGCGTTATTCTTCTCTCCCGGGGGCACGATCAGGAGTTGGTGCACAAACCAAACCCGAGGCTGTGCAGGGTCTGACCCTCCTGGTGCAGAAGGCACAACCCTCTAACCCTTCTCTCCCCTCTCCCCAGGCCCTGTACAAGCTGTACAGCGCGGCAGCGACCCACAGACACCTGTACCACCAGGCCTTCCCTGCCCCGCCAGCCGAGCCCGCCCAGGCCTCTGACAGGAAGAGGCTGTGAGCCTGAGGGGCCCTCGCACCCCATCCCGCACCCACCTCCCCCTGCCCAGCCCAAGCTCCTGCTGAGGAGCAGGGAAGGGGGAAAAACGAGTCCCTCGCAGGGTGGTGGGGTGTGTTTGTTCCATGGGAAGGTGTTGGCATGTGTTTCGTTGTGTCGGTCTGTACATAGTGGTACTGCAGCAACTGCCAAGTGCTTTTAACTTGTAACAGCCCAGCTCCTCGAGGAAGCCTTATTTCCCTTCTTAATTATAAAGTCACTGAAGGAATCATAACTTACATGATACTGCAACTCAGAATCTTCCAGCCTTCAGCATTATTCAAAAGCCAACTTATTTTCAGATACTTGAACAAGTTATAACATGTAATGCAGGTTTTGTTGGATTTTTTTCCTTCCATTAACTGTTTAATTCCATAATTCAAGATGTAGTAACTTGCTTTATCAGAAACTGCAAAAGGACACTGCTGCTGTGGTGTGTGAATGATCCTGTACGGAGACGTACTTTGCTGTTCCTAAGCCATGCACAAGTATCACTGTACCTGTTGGAGGAAGTTTCACTGTATTTCTGTACATATATATTCATTAGAGTGCATAGAAAGTGTTCAACAGTTCTATTCTTTTATCATCAGAACTATTAAAAGTTTGCTTTTGGTTCCTAAGAAGTTGGTTGTACAGGAAACAGTTATTGACTGACAAGATGAGAGCTGCTCCTCTCGGGTTCTTGACACTCTCCTTTTAGCCCTCAGAACTGGTCCTTATAAGTTGATATTTTGAAAAGACTCTGGCCTGTCTCCTGCCCAGGTGGGAGCTCTGGGAGGTGCTTCTGGTGACACTAGATTTTACAAGTCTTGGGCAAAATAAAAGTCTCCAGCTCTTACCAGTGGAGAAAAAGCATCTTCAATGAAGCCAGGACAGAACGGTCTGCACTGAGGTCCCCACCCCTCATCAGAGCTTTAATGGTTATGAGATAATTTTATTTGATGTTCTAAAAGGCAAAAAAATAAAAATCAGTTGGAAACCCCTTCAATACATTAAACAAAATGATTTTTATTGAATTAATAGGATTTACAAGAAATGTATTTTTTGTCTGCAACAATGTTTATTGCACTAAAAAGAATCCATAAATAACATTTCAGGACAATTAATGAACCAAATGAAAATATTGTTGAGGGTAACTGTACAATTAAAAACTTTCCCCAAGTAAGGAAGCTTCAATACAAGACAAAAGCTTGTTAAAAAAAAAAACACCAAAAAGAGTATTTGTTGTTACATCCCTGATTTTCTCCACGGTTGGTGCAGCTGGTGGGTGAGCTGGTCAGACAAGGCTGTGGCCTTCCCTTCATGTTCTGTGAAATGTGGTTTACCAAGCACTGAAACACCTGTGACAAGTTTGCTTTAGGGATCTCGGTCTTTCAGCAGGTGCAAGTATTTCCCCTCTGACTGATTTCTGTGACAACAAGCAGTAAATCTAAAGTAGTAAAGTGTTAAAAGTAAAAAATAAGGCAACTCAGGCTTCTCTTCCATGAAGCACTTGGGTTTCGAGGATGGAATCACCCGCTTCAGTCTGGTTCCAGCCCTGGTGTTGCTGAAGAGGAACAGCATCAGTGTTCTGTACATTAAAGCTGTAAACACAGAGCAGAACTCTCCAGAGAGAGAGGGGTAAGGAAGCCCTGAGGGAAACACAAAGGAGTATTCATTTGGATTTTAACCATGTTTTGAGTCCAGGACATTTCATACAGTTGCATCTATTGCCCTTTAAAAAATATATTGTCAGCTTCTTAATAATGCAGCTGACTGCTAGGAAAAAAAAAAAGAAACCAGAATCAAGTCTCTGATTCAACTCCATGCTGGTTTTCAGAATAACAAACTCATTCTTGTCTGGAAAAAGGTTAACAAACGTTTTTCATTTTTATAAACAATACATAATACATGTAGAAAAATATTCAAGAGGATAATAACAAAGGTGCAACATCAACAAAAATAAGCTGCCTTTTCAACAAAAAAAAAAAGCCTTTTTTTTCATAGTTTGAAGTGTGAAAACTTTTTTTTTCTTGTTTTAAAGCTTTTAAGTGTCAGGAAAAGTCTATTGGATACAAAGAGTTGTTAGCTTAGAAGTTCTTGCCGTGCTGCTGGGCGTACCACTGCTGCCTCTGCTGGCGGTGCTCCAGCTCGGTCAGCAGGGCCTGCCTGTAGGCCTCGTACAGCTTCACGATCCTTTCCAGTTCCTTCATGAACAGCAGCTTCAGCATCCCCTGGTAGGTGTCCAGGTCGGCCAGCTGGAACAGCTCCCACTTCAGAATGTGATCGTATCTGCTTGGAGAGAAGAGCTGGTCAGCTACACGCAGCCCCTGCCCCACCAGCCCGAGCTGCTGCAGTGTGGGGAGGGGTTTTGTTCTGGAGAAGTGGCCTCAGAGTTGCACAGGCACTGACCAAGATTTCTAGCAGCCTGCATTAGGGTGGTTTGTGTGAGGAAATAAGGTGGTTAACACCAAAAGACAGGGAGCTGTGGCTCAAAGCAAGTTGGAGAAACATCACTGACAGCTCAACTGCAGAATCACTGGGAACACACCAAGATAAACCAGCTATGCTACACATTGTGGTAAAGGAACAGAGAAAATGCCTCTTGGAGGCACTAAACCAGCAATTCCCTTCAACAAAGCTGAGTATTTAGTAGTAAAACATCTTTTAGAATCATAGAATAGTTTGGGTTGGAAGGGACCTTCAAGATCATCAGGTTCCAACCTCCCTGCTATGAGCAGGGACACCTCCCACCAGAGCAGGCTGCACAAGCCTCATCCAACCTGCCCTTGAACACCTCCAGGGAGGGGACATCAACAACCTCCCTGGGCAATCTGTTCCAGTGCCTTCCTACCCTCAAGGCAAAGAATTTCTTCCTGATGTCTGACCTAAATCTCCCTTCTTTCAGTTTAAAACCATTCTCCTATGCCCTATAACTGCCCTCTCTGGTGAAAAGCTCCTCCCCAGCTTTCCTTAGAGTAACTCAGAAAAAAACCCCAATTATTCTCACAGCTCACCTGAAGCTCCCAGAAAGCAGAGCTGGGCAAGGCCTCCCTCACAACACCCTCCTGTTCCCAAAGCAGTCTTGTTCTAGCCTTAGCAAGCACTCCTTGACACTGTCCCCCTCTTGGTTAATTAGCAGCAATAACCTAAGTCGGTGTGTCTCAAACTGTGTGTCCTGAACCCCACAGGACCATGAAAGGGGGGGGTCAGACAGGATCACTGAGGACTGAGCGAGAATGTGATCAGGCCATAATTACCAGCTGCAAGTGTCCAGGAAGGGACATCCCAACCACCATCAGCTACAAATCCTACATGTTCTCACTCCTCACACTGCAGACCTGGGAGACATCCTACATCCCTGCAGCCATGTCTCAAGGGCTCCCAGCACACCCTGAACTCCTCCTTCAGGAACACCTGACCCAGCTCCCCATGTGAGGTGGAAACAAGCCCAGCTGTGAAGTCAACCAATGACTGCTCTATTTCTTCCCACCTTCCACCAGTTACAAGGAGCTGTTGGCTGAGCAAGGCAAATAGAGCAAGGCAGCAGCCAGGGTCACCAGGGCTCCATCCAACTTCCAAGAGTCTCCTTGAGGAGGGAAGTGGACACTTAAGAGCAGAAGGTGAAAGTTCACCCAGAAAATACCAAGAGGTGCCATACACAGAGCAGCTCTGTTGGACAAAAACACACTCATTATTTTTACTTTTTAATACAGAGCAATTGTGAATGTCTGCTCATACCTGTAACATTTTTTTCAATTTCCAAAGCATCTAAACATGCTCCCATGTTCAGACTTAATGGATATCAGAGCTGCTGCCACTGGATAGGGACCAGAGCTGTCTTTTGTCTCCCAAGAGAAGTGCTGAATGGAGGAAGAGGTCTAATCAATGATTAAGCCACCAGCAGTGCTTTAATGGCAACAGGCTCATTCAAATCCCAAAAAGATGGCAGGTTTAGGAATGCCCACCATAGATACCAAGAGAAACAGGGCACAGCCCCTGACCTAGACTCCCCAGGCAAATTTTAGAAGGCCAACTAGTCACACAACCAGAAATCAAGGGGAAAGAGCATGTTAGTACAGAATTCCCGCTCCTGCAGAATTCCCTCCTGGGAGGGAAAGCAGGAGCTCAGCAGGAGACACAGCCAGAAAATGCTATCTCCAGAGCTTTTCAGAGAACTACCTTGGTTGGGAAAGACCTTCAAGAGCATCAAATCCAACCATTAACCTAACGCTGATAAGCCCTTAACTAAAGCAGTAACTAACTCATCTTTTCTCAGTAGATAACAAGTATTTAATATAAAACACACCACTTCCAACACAAGAGATCCTCCCTGCCCTGAATGTTTACAGCCTATGGGCTCAAGCTGGGACTGAGCGAGAATGTGATCAGGCCATAATTACCAGCTGCAAGTGTCCAGGAAGGGACATCCCAACCACCATCAGCTACAAATCCTACATGTTCTCACTCCTCACACTGCAGACCTGGGAGACATCCTACATCCCTGCAGCCATGTCTCAAGGGCTCCCAGCACACCCTGAACTCCTCCTTCAGGAACACCTGACCCAGCTCCCCATGTGAGGTGGAAACAAGCCCAGCTGTGAAGTCAACCAATGACTGCTCTATTTCTTCCCACCTTCCACCAGTTACAAGGAGCTGTTGGCTGAGCAAGGCAAATAGAGCAAGGCAGCAGCCAGGGTCACCAGGGCTCCATCCAACTGCCAAGAGTCTCCTTGAGGAGGGAAGTGGACACTTAAGAGCAGAAGGTGAAAGTTCACCCAGAAAATACCAAGAGGTGCCACACACAGAGCAGCTCTGTTGGACAAAAACACACTCATTATTTTTACTTTTTAATACAGAGCAATTGTGAATGTCTGCTCATACCTGTAACATTTTTTTCAATTTCCAAAGCATCTAAACATGCTCCCATGTTCAGACTTAATGGATATCAGAGCTGCTGCCACTGGATAGGGACCAGAGCTGTCTTTTGTCTCCCAAGAGAAGTGCTGAATGGAGGAAGAGGTCTAATCAATGATTAAGCCACCAGCAGTGCTTTAATGGCAACAGGCTCATTCAAATCCCAAAAAGATGAGAGGTTTAGGAATGCCCACCATAGATACCAAGAGAAACAGGGCACAGAGCACCAGCCCCTGACCTAGACTCCCCAGGCAAATTTTAGAAGGCCAACTAGTCACACAACCAGAAATCAAGGGGAAAGAGCATGTTAGTACAGAATTCCCGCTCCTGCAGAATTCCCTCCTGGGAGGGAAAGCAGGAGCTCAGCAGGAGACACAGCCAGAAAATGCTATCTCCAGAGCTTTTCAGAGAACTACCTTGGTTGGGAAAGACCTTCAAGAGCATCAAATCCAACCATTAACCTAACGCTGATAAGCCCTTAACTAAAGCAGTAACTAACTCATCTTTTCTCAGTAGATAACAAGTATTTAATATAAAACACACCACTTCCAACACAAGAGATCCTCCCTGCCCTGAATGTTTACAGCCTATGGGCTCAAGCTGGAAGAAGAAAGTCCTGGATTCAGATCCTTGCTTCAAAAGAGACAGGGGAACAATCTGAACCATGCTGTGTCATACAAATAAGGCATTTTTGGTCTCCTCAGCCTCACAGCCCCACACATGTGGTCTGGCACACTGAGGGAACACCTACCAGGCTGGGTACCCAACCTGGAAGGTGGAGAAATGCTCCATTTTAGAGCCTAGCAAAGGGTTAAGTCTCAATTCCACTCTGCTAAGGTTCTGGTAGCTGCTATGCTCTCAGAACAACCCCTGAGAGGTGCCCAGAGAGGGGAAAAGGACACTCCAAGGAACCAAAACTACCTCCATACAGGAAATTGTCACCTTAAAACTAGTCAAAGCCTCTTCACATACAGGAAATTGTCACCTTAAAACTAGTCATCAAAGCCTCTTCGCTGTCTAAGTCTAGTGTCAGTCTTAACAGCTGACCATTTGGCTCTAAAACAGGGAAGCATTATGGCAAACACCTACTTAAGTCTCCATTAAGACTTCTCCCGTGGCCCAAATTCTTATCCTTTAGAAAAGCTTGTTGAAGCAAAAGCTAACATTATTAATTTTTCCTATCACTATCTACTTGTCTCAACAAAAACAACCAGCCACCTAACTTAAGCCAGGTAATAAAATCTACCACAGTGACTTCAGAGCAAATTTTGTACAGTAAACTTCAAACAGCAGATTGCAAAAGGCATTCCTCTACTGCTACTATGGAAATCTTTTGCCCACTCAAGCTTCAGGCCAGTTCCTTTGGCAACAAAGAGGTTCATTATTACAATTACACAGAAAAGTGAATCTTCATTTTAATAACTGTGGAAATTCTTTATCAACGGTCCCTTAAGAAGTCCTCAAGATGAGGTGACACTAAGCCAGCTGCTACCACTCCTCCTCACTTTTCCAATATGATAGTAACATAAACCAGAATTTACTTCTTCACAGAAGTGTTTGAGAATGACAATATTCCTCTTGGCACCAGCACTACTGGAATGAAAGGCTCAGAGGGTACTGGAAAATACATGATACTTTATTCCTCTGAACAATGTAAATTCTGTTCAAACATCTTGAATTAATCAAATGTTGGGACATTTTTTGTTTTTTAAATTTGTCTCAGCCTACTAGACACAAAAAAAATCCCCAATAATCTTAAATGGTTTAAGTTGCCTTAAATTTTGTTTCTTAAGTTTCCAGAGAAGGACCAACAAGAGTCCATGCAACACAGGCTGAAATACTTAAAACTACATTGTCTGGATGTGCCAAAGGTCTAAATAAAGAAATGCAGCTGCAGCCAAAACCTAAAAGTGTTTCTAGGAAACAAGTCCTCCCATAGGCTACAGGAGCTCAGCATGTCCCTGATGCAGAACTCAACTGGTGGATTTTAGGCCAATTTACATCCTTCTGGCAAGCCCAGTAGCCACAAGAAGTAATAAAACACATTCAAATTATAGTGACTAGAAGCAACTAAAAAGGAGGAGTTTTTAGCTGGAAGTCACTGAACCTCTTAGTTTGATTTTGCAGCTACAAACTGACCTGCTCATTCCTGTGAAACTTCATTCTCCATATTCTCCTTATGAAAAAGCACATAACTTTGTAATTACTAAAATATATTTGGATTTTTTAATTGCTTTTCTATTTAATGTTACTCTTCTGCTGAGCTGTACTCATCTAAAAATGTAACTTGTTTCACTATGCAGACTCCAATCTTCTCTTGGAGCAGACTCCAATCTGTTCCTAGAGCTTTGCTTCCTTGAAAAAAATGGCTTTTTGCTACCACTTGGTTTTTAACTGAAGTTCTTGAATAGGAATATAGATTTCAGTCTCAACAGTTCTTAATTGTGAGGGAAAATCTGTATGTCTTTTTTAAGAAGGAGCAAGATATACATTAAGAATTCGATACCATGAAATATTTGTGTTTTATAGGCATGTGGCACCATTCTCATGAAGGTAAAATCCCATCTTCAACTCTCTAATGCATCATTCTGTAAGTCAGGTGAACTGCAAGAAGTACTGTGATGATTTTAAGTAATGCCTAATACAAACCAAACCAACCAATGAATCTGGTCTGACTTCATCACTACACTGTCAGTGAGAGTTGTCACATGATTAAGAGACAGACACCAGCAAGAGTCCTATTGCTAGTGATGGAAATTAATTTGTTTTCCTTATAAGCTAAACATGCATTGGTGAAATGGAGAGAGAAAAAAACAAAACAAACAGCTCACTTGACAGGAGCCCTGGCATAGACCTGCAGCCAGTCTGGAATCTCAGCAGTGTGGTAGGGGTTTGCAGGGACCAGGAGGGGCTGGCTCCTCTCAGCTTGCTGGGGCTGGTAACTCACTGGGGGAGGCTGGTCGTAGCGGGGAACACTGTACAGAGGGAGACAGACAAAGTTGTAACCTCTGAGCAGTAGCTTAGACATCCTGGTATCATTACATTGTTAAAATCTGTATAGATGAAAGGGCCTATGAGGAAAGCACATATGGAGCACCTTTCTGTTGCCCTGTTAGGGCTTTGCTGCAGTCAGAGCTGCTAGCACTGCTGCTGTCAGCACACTGGAGTTCACCTTACACCTATCCACCTAGTGCCTGCTACCTGGGTACTGCAGCAGAACAAAAAATGATACCTGTTTTTGAAACATTAAAAAGGTAAGTGTTGATTCAGCCAAATAATCCACCTTGTAATATGTTAGGACAAACGTATTCAGGCAGCAGCTGACAAGAGTTATTCCATTTACCACAAAGGACATCCTCATATGTTTATCTTCTGCACCACGTGTTAAAAACTCTCTCTTCCAGGGTAACAGCAAAATAGCTTGGGCAACAGAAATTAACTGGTATATTTGGTGTATACTAACTTTATTTTACCTCCAAATTATGAGTAGCTAATATGCAGATTTTCATTCCAGACAAGACTTAATTCACGTTTCAGATGGTATGTGCTACTTGTTCATACAATCTCCTGGAACATCAGATCAAGTTTCTTTTCAGTCTACAATCAAGTCTGTTCTCAGCAACTTCTCTGTTTTACTGACAGTTGAAGAGAATAGTTGCTTTGTTTTAGTGAGTTAGGAACGAGATCCTGTTTCTAAATTTAAGACAGTAACAGATGAGACAGAAACCTAACAATTACAACTTCTTCTAAAAAACTTAGTCAAGAACCAGTAAGGCTTACTTCTAAAAATAAAGGGGGTTTTTTTGGCACATTACATGAGACAAAAACAACTCCACTTTTTAAACTGGATTAGGAAAAACAATTTCCTCTGATAGTCCAGTCCACTGACCAGCCAGGAGGAAGAGGTAAATCTTCAGAACTATGATTTGTTAAGTTTCCTAGAGATGTAGCAGCAAGTCTACCGATGCCTGTGAATGGAAAACCAAGGTTCAGCTGAACTGATAAACCCCAAACCAACAATATGTATCAAGTCAACTCCCCCATGCCTGAGACACTCTGGGAACTTTGAAAAATACCCTGGATTACGAACCTCAAAGCTTTACCTTAATGACAATTTCTGTTAATATGCTATTACAACTGCATCCAAACTACTTATTTGTGCAAAACCACAGCTATTTCTTTTTCCACTTGCAGTGAGAAATGACAACTTCTGAAAGCAATCCTGACAAGATGTAGAGACCTTTTGCTTAGAGCCAGTCACATCATCCCCTCACCTCCTCTCCCTGCCTCCTTCCTCCCTCCCACAGATGTTGGAAGTTTCCTAGCGTAGTAGACTGCATATCTGCTTCTCAACATCTTGCTCTTTTGTAAAACTGAGCACCTACACATAATAAGAAGGAGAAGGGCTTCTCCAGCAAGAGAACCAAAGCCTTGGTCAGGTGCGTTTGGAGTAGAAGAGCTGCCAGGAAGCAGCTGATTAAGTTCCCACCTCTGCTGTAAAACTACAGCACATGTAGGATTTATCACTAAAAAGCTGATTTAACAGCCTGTTCACTGGCACTTTAAAATATGTGAGTTGTAACATACACACAGTTTTTACACTCTAAGAGTAAGCACACTGGATGCTGAGAGATGTACTGAAGAAATGTAATTCCAGCTTAATCTTTTCCTTCCCTTTCTATACTGCGGATCCTTAGGAGGCTAGGAGAAACAAAGGCCATAATAACAACTAAAGAAGATAAAAAAAGAAACAAACAGAAAACGCAACAAAAAAACCCCAGTGACAAAACCTAAGTGACACAATCAAGAATTCTGTGGGTCTCTTGCCATTCCTTGGAAGCTCACTACCTGCTGGATGTGCTGGCCTAAATTCAACTCTCTTTTTTTAAAGCCTTTCAAGTAGTTACCTTCACTTACCCACAGTTTTGTAGCTCAAAAGTTTTGGGCTTTAAAGAAATTCCAGTTATCTTTTCATCCCACCATCAAATGCAGCTGTTCAATCACAGTATCCATCAGGGTTTGTGTTACTGTTTCCCACAGAAGGAGAATGGGAGCCATGTTTTCCTCCTTAGGAGTCAGCAAGTGACTCCATCACAAGCACCACATTTACTGACAAAGGAACTCAACCCTTTCCTTCAGCTTTTCAGAAATTGCATTTTTGTGTGAAGATTATTATTTTTTTTTTTAAGAGGGGAAGAGAAAGGCAGAGCCTACTTCATCTGAAGCATACTATTAAAGAGAGGTTTCAGGTGTAGTCATTAACTCAAAACCACAATAGTAATACTGAAGTAGCAGCAAACCACCTATTTCTCAGACTCCAAAGCAACTGAATAAATAAAAAATATATTTTTAAAAAAAAATCTCAAAACTTTTTCCTGCACACTGTTCTTTTAAACATTGGTGCTCACCAACAAATCTTTTTCTAGCCTCCTCATGTTCTGAACTATTTGGCCTCAGACTATTTCCTCTTGTCAGAGGACCTCCCCCCTGCTCAGCTTTACATAGGTGCTGGTGTGTCCCTGCAACACCTCCCATCTCCCACCAGGATTCAGCAACACAGACCTTTACTTCCAGTGAGGAGAAACATCCTAGAGCCTTCCTGACCTTAAGCAGCACTGGGGCAAGGGAAACTATTTCAGACCCTGGCTATAGTTATGTCACTGGTGTTGTTTTCATTCCAATGGCAAAACACAAACATTTCAGTTTCTTGAAAATACTGCACTTTGGATAAACAAGTCCAGTATTTTCTCCAGCTAATGGGCCTATTGTGTTGTAATTTCATGTACATATGAACAGTGACTATTAAATCACCACTATCAGAAGATCTAAACACACAAATTTGACTGGGAGACAGAATTTTCTCAAAGGCATAAACATTTTTCTTTTTACTGTTAAAACCAACATATACTCATTTTTGTTACAGTTTCTCCTACTTCACTTCTAGCACAACTCCACCACCAAATACAAATATATTTATTTCTTGGGATAAAGGTTAATGCTTTCTAACATTTAGAAGTTGGTATTAAAAGCTGCACAAGCTGTTCTCTGCACAGTGCTACAACTCTTCATACAAAAGCCTGAGAAGACTGGGAGATGGTCTCAGGCAATGAGGAAACCCAAGACCTAGATGACAGAAAGAAATCACCTAGAAAGCAAGCTAAAAAGCATCACTGCACCCACTAGAAAGACAGTGCCAGTTCTGTGTTTACACAATCATTTAATTCTAGCTACATGGTTTCTCCCAATACCAGTTTTATTTTTAATTTCTAAGATGCCAAGAGCAAAAATAATAGCAGACCACAAATAGATTATTCCTTCCTTTTGCCATTTTGACTTCATGTATGAAGGAGCAGAGCCATACCATTATGATGAACTTACACAGCTGTAGCTGTTACCAATTCTGCATAGTGTTCCAAGCCTCTACAATTAGCAGGCTTGAATAATGAAATTAAAGGCCAGATTTATAAACTGACAGTTGCAAATAGTTCAGACTATAGACTATTGTGAATAGTCTTAATGTGCATTTTCCCCCTTAAAATCACAGGTCATATGGGAATATTTTCCCACCTAGACATTTTAAGACATCAGGTAGTATTCAGTATCTTACAACCATCAACCCACTAAAGCATCCAGACTGGCAGTTAGTACAGTAACTGGAGCTACCAGAGATCAAAACAAACAGTGTATTGGTTTTCCTTCCAAAACTCAGCAGATGCTTCCTTCAAGGAGACACACATAAGAGAAGTAGCTCCTGCTTTGATTTTGAAGGGAAGATGAAAATTGACTTTCTTGAGACACATACACACACACACACCTCTAAGCAACAATAATAAGACTGAACAACACTTGGAAGAAGAAATTAATATATGAGCTTTTCCAAAGTATAAACCAGTTACATGAGAGCCTAAAACCACCTACCATGAGCACTACTCCTGCTAGGTCACGTTGCCCAAGTGTGATACTCCCCTGTGCTTCCATTTTGGGTGAGGTCTCAGCCCTCTCCCCTGTGCTTCCATTTTGGGTGAGGTCTCAGCCCTAAAGCTGCTATTTCCACTGCAGCCCACACAGGGTTTTACTGCACACACCAAGGATGTTCCCCAAATCATGGGCTGGGACTAGATTCACAAAGCACAATGAAAACTATCTACAGAAAACTTACAACTTGACTTATTTTTATAAAAAATCTGGCATAAAACCTGTGATTTTCCTCTTGATGGAGGCTATGATTTCTACCACAGGAGGAACAAAAAGAGAGTAGTTGAACCACTTCCCTGTAACTGCTCAGGGTTCTCTTGCTCACATTCTGTTTTAGCCATGACAAGGCAGAAATTCCCATTCTTCCTGCCTTCCAAGGAAGAGAATTGTTTAAATTATCTGCTTTTTCCAAATATTGATAGACTCCTTTCCTCAGCCTAAGGATGACCACTGTTTATAAAAACTCCCAAGTGGCACCACCAAAGAATGGTCAACAATTAAATCAAATTCCTGCAATCATAAATCCTTTCCAGTTTGCCTCTTTGGATCTTGTCTAGCCTCATTTGTTAGTTGTTTCCTAATGGTGTAAGATTGGGGTATTTTTAGGTTCAGCTGTTGTTGCTTTTAAGGAACATCAATGTTGAACATTATTAGTGGATATGATTTCTCCTCCTCTTGTACAGTCTCTTCAGTTCAAGGTCCTGAATTAACTGTCAACCAGGCCAAGAGGCAATACAAGTTGTTCCAAAGCAAAAGAAAATTCTGTTCAATGCAGTTTGCTTGCTTAGGAGTATCACTCTGCATGTTCTCAACACTTCGAAAAAATAAAATTCAAAGAAACAGCAATCACTTACTATTAGTATTAACAAGATTTAAAATACTGTTTTAAGTATTTGAGTATTTAAGTATTTAATACAGGGCCTGTATTCAGTCTTACTTTCAAGATCTTCAACGACAGGATGTCCTCATACCAAACCCAAACTTCAACTTCAAGCACCACAGCTCACTGAATTATTCCAACACAGAGTTCCTTTCCTTTAGTATTTTTCTCTTTAAAATGCATCTTAAGCTAATAATGGCCCAAATGTGACAAATACCTTCTCCAGTCAAAGAAGTCCCTTTGTATGGAACAAAGAAAATTGAAGTGGTATGCCTCAGTGCTTTCACAGGCCAGGTGAGTGGGATATATTGTAAAGGCACTGCCTGGAAAGTCAAAGTTCTTAGGTTGGGAGGAAAGGTTTCTGTGGTCTGCCTGGTAGAAAGCACAGGAGAAAAATCCTATCAGCAGAGCAGCCCAGCAAAAAGAAGACAAATAAAGAAGAGAAAGTCTCACTTTGTCTTACCAGATACAGAGCTGATGTAGGCAGAGAGGTTTTAGAGCCTATGAACTCCCTATAACTAGCTTCAACTAAATTTCAAAGTGTTGAAGAACAAATCTAGCCAAAAAATAGGCCTTCCAGTTCCCCTTTAATTCAGTCAATTGTCTTTGGAGCCTTTTTTTTCAGGATGCCAAAATCCTCTCCCTTCCCCTCATCAAACCAGGATGAAGAGAAGGGAGGGATGATAAACGAATAACTATCCTGGTCAGATAGGTCTGCAGGTTCTAGGCCTTCCCAACCCATTCCAAAGCACCTGAAGGTACTTCCTGAGCATAAGCACCTCTTTTGTCAGAGGGAATGGGGTGTTCCAAGTCAGCATAAATTCACAAAGAGGAAATGACAGGAAGTACTTTGAAAGCTTTGAAAAATATGCTACAAAGAAATTACTGCAGAATCAGCACAAAAGAAGAAAAGGGCAGGAATTGCCATTTGTTTAGGAATAACAGAAGTGTACACACCTCAAAAGAAAAGCCCTGCTACTTTAGCTTCACATTTAATAATTCATACTTCTTTATTTCGCTCTTATATTAAACACAAATACCAGTTGGCAATTTTTAAGGGGTACAATATAACACAATATGAACCTACTTCTCCTAAAGTTCACTGGAATCTATGTTCACAGGATTAATGGCTTTTCTCCTCTGACATCAGTCAGCTCCTTACAATCCATCACCAGAAAGTCCCTTCACACTGTGTTTTTTAATCTCAACAGTTTTCATATACACATAAGAATTTTTCAGCTTACCACTCACACAGGTACAAATAACTCTTGAGGTCTTGGTTACAAGCTAGTTCCAATCTATAGTGTAGATATAACTTCAACCATAGACCTCCCCAAACCTTTAACCTAGAAGAGAGGAAAGAGATGTCGAGGAAAGATGGGTAAAGTCTCTCAGGATTAAGTTTGAAATGGACACTAAAAATAAAATGCAAGAAATGCCACAGAGGTAGCTAAACATACAACACGAGGAAGTATCTCAACTGAAGAAATTTTTCAGGAAAACCAGCAGCTCTAGACTGATAATTAAAAACAACAGTAATGAGAATAAGGGAAGGAGGACATGGAGAACTGAATCATACTGAGAGAAAACATGACTTCAAGGTGAAATGCCTCTGAGAGAACACATAAATCCTGTCAACATCAACTTCTGAAGAATCATGTGACTTCCTTAAGCACTTCGCTGAATACTTTGAGTATGAAGATCTCAATAAGCATGTGCTTTCAAATTAGTTCCAAATTATAAAGAGAATTTTTATCTTGAATGGAAGCTGAAATTCACATGCACCTCTTCCCAACTGCTTCTCAAAAGTCATCCCAGGTATAACCACCACTGAACGGAACATCACCATGGACAGCAAGTATACCCTGTATTCATCAAGCAACATGTCTGCAGCAATCAAACCAACCATAACAGAATGGACTGAGGGAACCTTCTGAGGGAGAGTGGGAGAGGAGGAAAAGGGTAGAATGCAGCATTTAGAGACTAGCTAATAACCTGATACCTTGAAGCTGCAGGTATCAGGCAATTTGGTCATCTGTTATCCTGATGAAGAGCTCTGATTAGGTGAAATGCTTACAAACAAGAGTGGGGATGTATAAGGAAAAAGTAATTTAAACACAGACAATGAAAGTAAAAGGCCTACCTCAGTATTTTGAGAGGAGAAAAGGAACTAGAAATTACAGAAAGATTAGTGTAGCTCAAGGAAAACACTGAAGGTTTGAATACAATGGATGGTTGAAATGAAAAGAAGCTTAATGGTGAGATGAAAGTAAGAAAACTCTAAGGTTTTCTTCTTTTTGGCCACATTCTTCTTTTATTGAGAAATAGTAACAGCAATTTCTGAAAATATGTACTGAAAAGTATGTACTGAAGTTAAGGACATTGGTCAATATTCTTACTGCAGTGAAACTGAAAGAGGAATTTAGGAGTTCATATTCCATGCTGAGATAAAAGGAAAAAAAAAATAAAATTGAGGGAAAGGGAAACACTTTGGCAGACCAAAGGCTCACCTTTTATGTCTCTCCCAATAAACAAGAGACTGAATACTTACTGCTTACAAAACAGGTGTAAAATCTGTTCAAACTATTAAATGCAAAAATCTGAGAGTGAAACACAAAGACCAGCCAAACATCAGCAGCTCCTTTGTGATTTCCAGTGGCTAAGGGACCATGTAGACAAATGGGGAAAAAAGCCTTTTTAAAAAGAAATCCATGTTGCTACAACTGAGAAAAATACAGCTGTTAAGCCCTATTTTTAGCTTGTTTTCAAAACTTCTGGCTAGGTTACACTCCACTTTCAAACTAATAGCTAGAGTTCCATTTCCACTCCCCAGCAGCAGTAGCATTTTTTGAGGCCTTCCCCAGCATTCACCATTTACTGTAGCTATGCTGAATGTTAAATTGATGGATTGTTTTGTGAAATCCTCCTCTCTTGCCTCTCCTCCCTTCAGCATCCCAGCACACACTTGTTATCTGGACCAGATAAATGACTGATGACTGCTGCTGAACAACAATAGACACAGGTGAGGGGTTTCATGCAACATCCAGGTCCATCAGATGTAGTAGCATCTTTTGTATTTAGCAAAATAAATGAGGATTAAGGTAGCAAGTCTTAAACCTTGGTATTTCAGAATTTACTGTCTGACAGCAGGAAAAGAGAGTACCCTTCTGTCACTTTGCATTGAAATGTTTCTGCACTAAAAAAAACCCACAAAGCATTTTCAAGTTCTAATTCCATCCACAAGGGCAGCAGCCTTAAATGCTGATGTTCTTCCTAGCAGATTTGTTTCTCTAGACAGAAGATTTATTTTACTGGAGACTATTTACTATTTTGTTTACAGATTACAAATCATGACAAACTAGCAATGCATTTCATACTGAAGGGACATTATTTTTAGGTTTGAAACGTTTGTTTCAAACCCTTCCCTGAACACAGGTTTCACAGGATACATAAACACCACTTGATTCAGCCAAATTGACTACTTTTAAGGTCACCTTTCTATGGGCAATATTGTAATCCCAGACTATTTATTTCACCAATAGATTCTCAACAGCACACCACACCAAAGAATTCTTCTTCAGGGTCATCATAGATAGAACAAAATGTATCCAAAAAGCAGTATTTAATGGATTCTTCTTTGTTATGTTCTTCCAGTAAAAAACAAAGACAAATTCCAGTGAAACTGAGGAGTGTAAAGAGGCATATTTATGAAGAATACTACAAGCTAAAAGAAAAAACAGACTAGGAAGTCAGTTTCAGCACTAACGATACACCCATCTACTAATTACACAAAACAGTCATTCCTCCCTTTAACTATTTGTAATAAATTATTTTAATTATCGAGGTTAAATTTACACAATAAAACTAAATAATAAGGTGATGGTACTTCAAATACAATAATACAATAAAAAGGCAATGTTACAATTTAGAGCTGTTGGTTATTCTCTACATCATGAAAACTGTAGATGTCTCCTAATGAATAAAATGCCTTGCCAGCCAGAAACTTATTCCACTTGGTGTAGAGAAGCTGCATATATGCTTGGTATTAAAAAAACCCACTTGCTCAACCTTATTCCATTTAATATGTTAAGTTCTGGTTTAAGTATGTTTTTCCTTTCAGGATCTATGCAATCAAATCCTTAATTCTAAGAATTGTGAACTGGGTGCATTCAGATGACAGAAACAACGCTAAAAAGCAGCTCTGCTCTACACTTCTGAAAGACATGACCCCAGTCATGCAGGCACCTCAGCACCTGAAGTCTTATCAAAACTACCCTGTTTTTGAAAAAGCAGCAACTGGTACTCACCTGAAGTGTGCCTGCCATGATTCTGTGACACCCTCTGGAAGATGTCACTGTTGTGCTCGTAATACCTGTAGTCATCGTGCAGGCGATCGTTGAGCTGGCGTCTCCTCTGGGCATCATAGAAATGGTCATAATAATAACAACGGGCACCGGCATCTCCGTTTTCCAGCACGGAATTAGCTTCTGTCAGAAAAGACTGGGAGGAAGAGCCGTATTCTCTAGGGACGTCAGCTAAACTTCTTGCAAGGTAGGAAGGTGCAGACAGTCTGTTGCTTTCACGTCTCATTATTTCATGCGGTGGCCTCTGCACTGGAGTTCGGAGGAAACTCTGGTTTCTGGAAACAATTCCATCTCCAGCAGAAGCATATGCAGAAGTTGGGTCAGGAGGACAGATATCAGTTCGTCTTGGAATGGTTGGACCGTGACGGATAAATGAAGGCATCAGATCTGACATATGGCATGAAGAGAGAAATAAGGACTTTGGCTGCACTCCCACATGAAGCATTAGGCCAGCCACAGGGTTGATGTGCACCACAGAGCTGAGGGAATTCAAATGCTAGAACCTCTTTAAGGCACCTCTGCTGCATATGCAAGCACAGTGGTAACACTGCAGTTTGCCCTGGTGCAGCAGAGACCACCATCACAGCCTCCACCAGCAACAAACCCTTGCCAAATGAGGGCAGTTTTGCCAGTACAACCACATCTACAACAAACAAATCAATCCCAAAAATCACAAAAAAACACTCAGAGAAAAAAACCCCAAACCACCCATGCTGCACTGTGGCTACATCAGCCAGGCTTTATACCTCTCTAAGAGGGTCAAGAAAATTCCAGACATCCTGGCTACCTCTCTACCACTTCTATTGAGATCACTGTCCTTTCAAACTCAGAGTAACTGCAGATGTTAAATCACAGAATCACAGACTGGTTTGAGTTGGAAGGGACCTTAGAGATCATTTAGTCCCAACCCCCTGCATGGGCAGGGACACCTCCCACCAGACCAGGTTGCTCCAAGCCCCATGCTCACAGGAATCCACGGCAGAATCAGAATTCCTACTCTCTCCACTAATCACAAAGTTCAGCCAGCAAAATGCCGTCTTTCTGCACACATTAAGTCCTCAAACTATCACAACGATATTTCACTTTCTCCTTTACCTGAAGAGGTTTTACAGATGAACAGTGACACCTATTCATACAACTTCACTGCCTCCTTCCATGACTCCTCTCCTTACTGTTACTTTTGACACGATACAACTAACTAGTTTCCCTCCAGTGAGCCAATGCAAATCATGCATATAGGGGGATGTTATGCCTATGATTATTAATTACTTCTTTTTAATACACTCTTGTAACTTGGGATAAAAGTTCAGTGCATGCCAGAAGGTGTAATCAGTGAATTTACAACCATCATTACAAATCAGTTGTGCAACAGCTCATTATTACAGCACAAATGTGTAAAAGTTGTTAACCCCTCAGACACACCCACACATTAATATGAACAAAATACACCCTTAGTGGGTGTTTGTCTTGGGTTGTGGGGTTTTTTTAAGGACTAAGTGAATGTAAACAGACTACTAAATAATTTTGCCTGTTGGGCAACCAGCTGTTCATGCAGCAAATATTTCCAGAAAAGCTGAGTCCTGCTCCTGCCAGCAAATCAGCTGCTGCCGGTTGTGACCTCCGAGCTAATCCTGCAATTACAGCAGAACACATTTCAGTCTCAGGTTGTTTTCAAAGATTAACAAGAAGAAACCTCTGTGCACTTTCAATGTGTATTTGCTGGCATTCTGTGCAGTCCTAAAAAGACCAGGACTGGGGCATCAACATTAGGTGAACCAGTGCAGTGACCTCCTCTCGTTGATTTACAGTTCAGAACTGGAACACTGGCTTCCGCAGGGATTTCATGGAACTGTCTCCTACAGTTATCTCATTTCCAAAGCACACACCTTTTGGCACTGCACACAGCCTAGATGGGGAAAACAACCACCGACTTCTGGAAAGGGTGAGAGATGACCTGCTCCCTTCATCTGAGAGATATCTGCTCGGGGATTGTCTTAACCTCTAACTGTTGAAAACTGAGCAACTACGGCTGAGGAAAAAAAAGAAAACAAAACAAAACAACAAACCCACAAACAAAACACCCCCAAGTCTGTTTACCGCGAGTGAGTGCCTGGCATATGCAAGCACAGTGGTAACACTGCAGTTTGCCCTGGTGCAGCAGAGACCACCATCACAGCCTCCACCAGCAACAAACCCTTGCCAAATGAGGGCAGTTTTGCCAGTACAACCACATCTACAACAAACAAATCAATCCCAAAAACCACAAAAAAACACTCAGAGAAAAAAACCCCAAACCACCCATGCTGCACTGTGGCTACATCAGCCAGGCTTTATACCTCTCTAAGAGGGTCAAGAAAATTCCAGACATCCTGGCTACCTCTCTACCACTTCTATTGAGATCACTGTCCTTTCAAACTCAGAGTAACTGCAGATGTTAAATCACAGAATCACAGACTGGTTTGAGTTGGAAGGGACCTTAGAGACCATTTAGTCCCAACCCCCTGCATGGGCAGGGACACCTCCCACCAGACCAGGTTGCTCCAAGCCCCATGCTCACAGGAATCCACGGCAGAATCAGAATTCCTACTCTCTCCACTAATCACAAAGTTCAGCCAGCAAAATGCCGTCTTTCTGCACACATTAAATCCTCAAACTATCACAACGATATTTCACTTTCTCCTTTACCTGAAGAGGTTTTACAGATGAACAGTGACACCTATTCATACAACTTCACTGCCTCCTTCCATGACTCCTCTCCTTACTGTTACTTTTGACACGATACAACTAACTAGTTTCCCTCCAGTGAGCCAATGCAAATCATGCATATAGGGGGATGTTATGCCTATGATTATTAATTACTTCTTTTTAATACACTCTTGTAACTTGGGATAAAAGTTCAGTGCATGCCAGAAGGTGTAATCAGTGAATTTACAACCATCATTACAAATCAGTTGTGCAACAGCTCATTATTACAGCACAAATGTGTAAAAGTTGTTAACCCCTCAGACACACCCACACATTAATATGAACAAAATACACCCTTAGTGGGTGTTTGTCTTGGGTTGTGGGGTTTTTTTAAGGACTAAGTGAATGTAAACAGACTACTAAATAATTTTGCCTGTTGGGCAACCAGCTGTTCATGCAGCAAATATTTCCAGAAAAGCTGAGTCCTGCTCCTGCCAGCAAATCAGCTGCTGCCGGTTGTGACCTCCGAGCTAATCCTGCAATTACAGCAGAACACATTTCAGTCTCAGGTTGTTTTCAAAGATTAACAAGAAGAAACCTCTGTGCACTTTCAATGTGTATTTGCTGGCATTCTGTGCAGTCCTAAAAAGACCAGGACTGGGGCATCAACATTAGGTGAACCAGTGCAGTGACCTCCTCTCGTTGATTTACGGTTCAGAACTGGAACGCTGGCTTCCGTAGGGATTTCATGGAACTGTCTCCTACAGTTATCTCATTTCCAAAGCACACACCTTTTGGCACTGCACACAGCCTAGATGGGGAAAACAACCACCGACTTCTGGAAAGGGTGAGAGATGACCTGCTCCCTTCATCTGAGAGATATCTGCTCGGGGATTGTCTTAACCTCTAACTGTTGAAAACTGAGCAACTACGGCTGAGGAAAAAAAAGAAAACAAAACAAAACAACAAACCCACAAACAAAACACCACCAAGTCTGTTTACCGCGAGTGAGTGCCTGATGGTAGTGTAGGGCTGCCTTTTACATTCGCTCTAAACCATCTTAAAACCCAAACCTTTCAGGCCTGGCCTCCCTCCGCAGCTCCCACGACAGGAATTGCCCTCACACTGCCCCAGGAGAGGAACCCCCACCTCTCTGGGGGGTCCCCCCGCTCCCCTCAGGAGAGGAATTCCCCCCCCTTCCTGGAGGGGAACTCCCCCCTCTCAGGACGGTCACCCCGCTCCCTCAGAGGGGTCCCCCCCCCTCTCAGAAGAGTCCCCCTCTCTCAGGAGGGCCCCCCACTCCCTCAGGAGAGTCCCCCCCGTTTCAGGAGGGTCTCCCGCTCCCGCAGGAGGGCCGCCACCCTCCTGA